AGCACTTTCGTGGCCATGTAGTTTGCCCTCGTGTAACAAATTTGAGGACTGTCATTTCCTTTTCGTCTTCAGGATTATGAATTATTCCGTATCGATTCAGTTTAAAGTATTATTATTCCAACACAGTTTTCTTTCCCGGTAGTTTGTTTGGATTTGCGTTTGAAAAAAACACAAAGAATGATTTTGAAATACCTGCTTGTGGAATATTTGTATCGAAAAACGTGCGTTACATTGGATGTGTTGTTCTTTCAGATGTTAGTCTATATCCTTGGTCTGAAGAGCATTTACTCTTGTGCTTTTCAAATATAGAATTATAGAATTTTGCATGGAAATCAAAATCATTGCTATAGCTTTTCTGCAAATATGTGTATTCACACGAATTTAAAGAAATACGACAGACGTTTTTGGATTTACTATCAGCTGTTATATACGGTCCAGTTAATTCTGATTTGTTATTTGATGGTCACTCATCTGCTGGAAATGGATGTTTGACTGCGAGCTAATCAGTCGTTAGCAAACAAACTTTATTTATGAGTTGTCTGTCCATACCTTATTTTGTGGCGCGACCTGCATGTTCCACCAGCCTCACACTCATAAATGCTGTAACATGTCGCTTATAGAGCCATCCAGTAGGGTTGTGTCCCACTTGATGAGATTTAGGGACGGAGTGACGGATTCTCCAGCGAAGACAGATTTCACTGTCATTCTTTCACCATGGCTATGAAACAGCCGTGCTAAAGGATGTTTCTCATCAAAGTAATGATAGTGTAAGCGAGCTATAGGGTCTCGAGACTAATGCCGAGGTTCGCAACGCTGTCACGCCCTACCTCTTCAAAGAAGGTTTAAAGTTCCTTGATCTACCACAGAGATAGGGAACTTAGTTGATGATAGGACGAAGCAACAAATCTCATGAGGATAGACACCGACACTTCAGGATATCCATGTTGGTCAGAAGAAACTAAGAGGTGATTCGATAGCGGAATACAAAATAACAGGAATGCCAAGTCACTGTAACACAAGTATTTCACCAAAACCTTAATAACCATCCCTTTCTTGAAGCAGATGTACATGAAACAGATATCGTAAGTTATCATTAAGACATATCATTAACTGATTTGTTTATCGCTTATTATCATCTCCTTTTCTTTTTTTGTTCTTATACCCCGGCCTCCACACAAAACCTATTAACTTACTTATATCTTGTTCGCTTGAAACAACCGCCTTTCCGTAACACCCAAGTTCGCATTTCATTGTTATCAATATTGTAACTAATCTCTAGCTTAGTAGTGTGATAGCTGCTGATGCTCACAAACCTTTCTGTATTGAGACAAACGGATTCGTTCAAATTGAAAAACATTCAAACACACCAATAAATAACACACTGACTTGGACGAGTGCATTCGAGTTGCTAGACTACCACACTTTAGACATTAACAAAACACGGAGTCTGTAGGGTTATGGTCTAATATGTTATTAGTACTGCTCTAATAATAGACCTAATCCTAAATTTGTAGATTCGTCATGATATAACTGCCTAATCTTTAAGATCTTACGTGGAAGTCACACCATCGACTACGCCAACTCACTGTATCGTATCAATTACCAATACATGATGAAGAACCAGCTTAGGTTAGAGAAGGAACAATATATTTAATATGAATAGAGACCACGCCTGCATGGCCGAGCCATGCCACTCGATCAACCCCAGAACATTCAATTCATTGTTCGCGCCTTCTCCATTTTTAGGTATTTCTCCGCGTTAAATATTGAATATCTATTTTCTGAGTAGTCTCGTGTTCACAGCTTTGTGGATTGTGTGGCTATTGTCCAATGCCACTACACTACTCTGCCACCAGAATCAACGTGATGTTGGTTCGATACCAAATTGGATGGGATCGTCGTGCGCCGAAGGTTACCAAGACTATGAAGAATCCCTGGGTAATGATAAGCTGAAAGATAAATCAAAAAGAAGGCGGCAGCATCTGGTCGGGAAATACATGTAATAATTTTTTTTAAAAAAAATCTGCCTTCATGCTTAACACACTTAAAATGACAATTTGGGTGAAGATTATTTGAGCTATAAAAAAAATGGGATTACAGTAATAATAATAAAACAATGCGTGTTAATAGCCGTTGGTTAATAACTTGACGTATAGGTAGTAAGTATTTTGTGTTTAGAAATATTAAAATAATGAATATTGTAGAAATGTTAATATTGGTATTAGTTTTGGTTTAAATTATGAAATCAATTAACAATTATGCCGGTAACCCGTCCATATGTGATTTCCAATTGCATCTGTATTAGTAGGCTAACTGGGAGAACAAAAGTATTACCATGGAAAAGAATTCCAACTAGTGTTCCAGTTAGTTTGATACGGTTTATTTAGTTACGGGGAGATTTTCTCAACCTCATTTTTACTTGACCGTGATAGAATTTAGTAATACTACTAATACACATGAATGGTTACCAAAATAAAATTTAAATACGTGAGTGATGATTATATGAATTTTGGACAGATAGCTAGGAACAAATCGTTAAACATGAGCGTATTCGTAAGAGACATGCTCTAGACTCAATGTTCTGATCTGTGGCAGACTATTTACTTGTATTTATACTTGCCGAGAGATTGGACATACAAGTTAGTTGCAAGTATGCAGTTTATCGTAAGGCGGAACACGATTTAATTGAGATATAGTGGTTACAAGTTATTAAAATCAGTTAGACCTGTGTCATATTACGAAGTGATGTGAAGCTGCAAGATGTATTTAGCTAAATAAGTTTTTACAAGATGATTAATAGTGAGTGATGCTCATGTGATTATCAGGGAGAACATAAGTTGTAACCAAGGGGAGTACACTCCCAACTCATGTCTATGATAATAGCTTGAACCTTAGTCAGTGTTGGGGTAAATTCGACATTGATGTTTTCAGTTTGCAGGAGATTTGCTCGACTGCTTATACTGATTATTTGCATGCATGATTGTGTCGCTAAACCATCAATTAGACTGACAAGGTTTTGAGATATTCACTGAATGAGCAACTGATAGAGAAACATACTGTAATCATCTGTGATGGATGAAGATACCAAGAAAACAACACCATTTAATGGTAATTATAAGTCAATTTGTTGACCGATTTCGTTAATAGTTTTATTAATTTTATCAGTCATATTACGTGATTGTCAAGTTATGACAATGCTTTATGACGATATCCTGAAACTATTAAATTTAACTAGTTATAGTGTTGATTAAGGATTAGTCAGTAGAAAAATAGGTATTGTTGCTTTAGGTGATTCAAAATCATCAGAAATTTACAACGTTAAAGAATCCGAGACGCCTAATTTAATTATAAATTTCAATTCAGAAATATTCGTTTAGTGTTCATTCTAGTAGGCTACGGAGTTCTGATTTTAAACGTTTGTTTAGCCAACAACTACCTGAGGATTTAGTTATTTTACTGGTGCAGTTGATAGTACCTAAATTTGTAATCTTATTATCTAAACTATGTTCGCATTTTAGGCTGCTAATGTGATAAACCAAGCAATAAACCCAAATACGATTAGCAACAACGACTATGATGGGTTTATTAATAAATGTTAAAGGCGATCCAGATGATTTCTAAATTTAGAAGAAATGGAGATATAGTGTAACGTATGTATGGGCTAGGTTAACATGCAGGTTGTTGACGTATATGACGATTTAAAAATAATGAACATGACCAGAAAATAGTTTTAAAGTTTAGACTGCTTGTGAAACTTCAGGCAGGAATATGATGTGTTATAAACATTCCATAAGAAGTTACTGCATTTAGCCTAGGGACACTTACAAATATATAGCAAAAGGAACCGGAAAACATATACATGTTAAGTAAAAAAAATCATTCAGTAAAATAGTTGAACTCGCCTGGGTTATTTTTGAAAATTAGATTATTCAGTGGACGATATATATAACGCTATTCGTGAGTAGTATTGATCCAAAAGCATCCAGAATAAAACATGCAGTATGGCAATTAATTCCAGGGTGCTTGATGCTGTTGACGTTTTTGACACTCGCTCGGATCAGAACAATCGAATGAATCCAGATAATTGTATGGTTGTCATTGAACGAACCATCGTATGTTTTTGGAGAAGTGTCATCCTCGTTGTTTGGCAATGGAACTCGAGAATATGAAATTAGGCAGGCAGTGGTCGGAAGAAAAGATATTACAGGATAGTGCATCGTTTAAAACAGGATGAGGTGTTAATTGAAGGAACACTGAGAATTAGATCCAGATAACTATTTAGTCCTTGATCGCATTGTTAGTCAATGTATATTTACGCTATTTACAGGTCATATTTGCTAGAGCTTGATGTTTAAACAAGACTATGTCGCCAAAGCATGTAAATGCTATTACAGCTTGTTAACAAATCATCAAAGCTAATTAGTTAATATAGACGACCAGTTTTTATTATCGATTGGGCTAGTTTGTCATGAGGACTAATCAATATAACATTACGATAATGCATGCGAGCATTAATCAGAGGACTATTAGAATACAGTGTTAACATAAATATAAAATCGATCGAGAAAGTTGAAGTGGAAATAAGGATTAATAATAATAGGTTGCGTTTTTCTAGTCGGGCTTACCAATGTAGAATTATGGTCTACTATGATATTAGTACTGCTCTAATAATAGACCTAATCCTAAATTTGTAGATTCGTCATGATATAACTGCCTAATCTTTAAGATCTTACGTGGAAGTCACACCATCGACTACGCCAACTCACTGTATCGTATCAATTACCAATACATGATGAAGAACCAGCTTAGGTTAGAGAAGGAACAATATATTTAATATGAATAGAGACCACGCCTGCATGGCCGAGCCATGCCACTCGATCAACCCCAGAACATTCAATTCATTGTTCGCGCCTTCTCCATTTTTAGGTATTTCTCCGCGTTAAATATTGAATATCTATTTTCTGAGTAGTCTCGTGTTCACAGCTTTGTGGATTGTGTGGCTATTGTCCAATGCCACTACAAGTCGTATCGAAACCTAAAGTAACAAAAGCAAGAATTCAATTGCTTCAAACAGTGTCGTGACAAAGAAATCGGATTTCGGATCCAAGGAACGGATACAAAGGATTCATCTTCCGTACAACAGCCATTCAATATTGGAATTTGTTATAGTGTCTCAAAAACTGCGACTTGTTTACATTCTACTAATTCGATCGAAATTATTTGTTACTCATTTCAGACGTTATTCGGTCAGTTCTCGGTTTCGGACACAAGACTACGTGAGACAATATAGACTAGAAAATGGAACTTGACATTTCTCACGTTATGAGGTGGTTCTTCTTGTATTTCACTACCTTAGGATCATTTTTACCCAATCATGTATCCACCAAAAGTCTACCTCTCTATTCTTATGATAATTCTATGCTTGTTCTTCTTCATCCGTTTGATCCGAAACTCCTAAAACCATTTGATGCTCTAGCTGAATATTCTCGGGTTTCAGTGTACGAGATGCTTAGATACTTAGATCAGAAAAGGTTAAGTGGTAATCCATTGTATAACAACTCTGCATGCGTCGTCGATGTGACCTCGATTGTTTATGGAATCATTCGATCAGACAAGGAGGCAGTGAAATGTAGGCATGTGTGTTTGATTTTATTTATTCTTCCGAAGGGTTGGATGCCGCAGGCAAGATTGTTCCTGGTGTCGCTGGTGGTGGTATCAACTGGGTGGGAAGCATGGAATTGTGTCGAAATATCACAGATTTCAGCTACGGTTTATCCCAGCATGTTCAAGGAAAGTATTGCTCTGCATATGTGAAACTTCCTTCAGCGGAAGAACTTCCTCAACAGTTGGTATGTTTTTCTCGTTATATTTTCTTATTATCAGTCATTCGAACTGAATTATGGGGTGTGCATTCCTCATTCTTGTACGAAGGATGACTTGATTTGGCTACTAGATATGGGTTTGTTAATTTTTAATCATGATTGTATAGCGCTTTCCAAGGTAAATTTATCCATAGATAAGTCCACAAGCTTCTGTCATGCAGATTTTGGAGAATTACCTAAAGACGGTTGGTTTTGGGTAGCAATGTGAGTTGTAAAACCGTTTATTTTTAATATTTCAACTGGCTGTGCGCAACAACTATTTTTACTGAATTTTCTCGGTCGGTCGGTCTTGGTTTAGTGTGACGATTTCGATCATTTCAGATTGAGATTTGTGTAGTAAGGACAGAAGGCCTACGGCCTTTGTTATTCCTTTTCTATTATGCTTCTGTGAGTGTCCAGTCTTCTCTTGAAAGAGTCAGTTGAAGCTGCGGACACCACTGCTTTGGGCAGCAGGTTTCAAATATTGATGACTTGGTGTGGAAACCTGTATGCCACGGGTATTTTGTTCGTTTTTGACTTTTCTACTTGCCTGCTATGTCCTCTGAAATGTCCCGATCTAGTGGGAAGTAAAAGAGAGAATAAGTTAGGTCCAAAATCATTTCTCAGTATTCTGTACATCAAAATTAGATCTCCCCTTAATCTGCGATAGGACAAAGTAAAGAGGTCCAGCTTTTCAATCCGCTCTTTGTATGGTAAACCCCGAAGTTCTGGAATTGCACGGGTAGCCGCCCTCTGTACTTTTTTCTAGAATATCCGAGTCATCTTTTAGACAGGGGCTTGCAGCCTGAACGCAGTTCTCAAGCTTAGTTCTCACTAAGGATGTGTATACTGTGGTGAACATGGTAGTATCTAACTTAGTGTATGTCACAGACAGTGGGGTCGCGATATATTGTGCAATATGTCTCAAGATTTCGGGGTTTAGTTCATCTGGTCCTGTTGACCTTTCCATGTTTAAAGTGCTAAGAGCCTTAAGCACATCGCCTTGACCAAAGTCCACGGTCAGTAGATGGTTTGTTGACTATTTTGGTCTGGTTCTTTGTCTAGAGGAGGTTCCTGAGTGAAAACTGCTCCAAGATAGTCAGCCATAGCCTCTGCTTTTTCCTGATTTTCCTCTATCATTTCAGATTTACTCCCTTCTTTAATTAGGTTGGTAATCCAATGATGCATCCTTGTTTTGTAGTTTATGTACGAGAATATTCTCTTAGGCTGCTTGAGTGCTTATTATTTCATTCACTGGACTGGATGCAAATATTTTTTTATTATTTTGGGAAATTTTCATTAGGCGTGAGAAGTGTTTAATTTGTGACCTTAATGACTTTTGGTAATCATATTAGTGGGTTTTCATCTGACATCTCTTCCGTTTACAAAATAAATGTGATAAAACAACAGTGGTTTCAAGATATATATACGAATATCATATCATGCTAAATGAAAGTGTTATTTTACTTATGAGGAGAAAACACTTGAGTTCTTTGGCAGGTTTGCCACCCTTATTGGGGATTTTATTTAGCTGTGTAAGCAAGCAGTTGATATATATATATATATATATATATATATATATATATATATATATATATATATATATATATATATATATATAATGTTGGAACTGTTTAACTGACTTATGAAAGCCGAAATCTGTGATGATATTTCGTTGATTAAGAGTATTAGAAAGTACTCAGAGTTCACAGTTGTTTTACAGAGCTTCTGTAATTAATCCGTGTCTACTTCAGTTTAATTGGAGTTTTGATTAGGCAGCCTGTTGTAAGACTTGTACTTACTGCTTCTAAGGAATACAATGTTTTTGTATCACCCCTAGGTCTTTGTTAGTTCTTATGATCATTCTTCTGATAATTGGAACAATGGTGGATGTAGTTCTATGGTGCAATTGGAATTATCGCTTTTATGAATTTCTGTACAACAGGATAAGAGTCAGTTTGCCTGAGGATACATTTACTACCAGTGAGGAGGAAAATTTAGTTGAACAAACTCCGTGTGACCAGTCGAAATCAGTTAAGTTATCATATTTTGAATACAGATCCGGTAAGTAAACTTACACATTGTCGCTTATGAATTTATAATTGCGTTTTTTGATCAGCTATTTGAGATTGTTAGAGGTCTTATGTATCACGAATTTATCATGGCAAAGAGTTTTAGTAAACAGTCAGATTTCCAGTCGTTCATTTATATGGTGATGTTAGATGATAGGATGTGTCTCCTAGTGTGTTTTATGTGTGTAAAGCTAATTGGCATTCAACGATTGAAGTAGATGTAATAGATGACATGATTTATCAATATCTGAGTTACTAGTAAATGAGATGATAGACCTCTCATAATGTGAACAACTGATTTTAACGTTTGTGGCTGAGTGATGCAGGTATTTTTCTGGAGATATTTGAATCTTTACGTACCTGAAGTCGCGTCCCTTAAGAAAGGTCTTGCACAACCAAAAGCCTCCGCCAATGGCTTGGTAGTTTTCGTCAAATACAATGAAACAAGATGTTGAATCTATTGGCGACCCCCAGGGAAATATCTCCGATGAAAATTTGTTGAGGTTGGGGTTTAGTAGCGTGATTCTTGTAAAATTTCAGCTATGTGTTGGGTTGTAAGACATTTTTGTCCACTTGTAATGCTACTTCGATTGAAAGACTAACGCTGCGTGCTGTAAGTTTTTCATTCAGTAGTTTTCAGCAAACGATAATATTAAACGTTCTAACAAAATACAATGATTTAACGACTGAGCTGTTTTATATCACCGTGTATAGCCGAACATGTTTCCTATTTCGTTGGTTTTTGTGTACTCTCAGGGTTAACTGCAATGTTTCCAGTTTGTGAGTGAACAGATTGTCTTCCAATTCTGTTATATCAATTAGATGAAATTCACTCATCTTATATATATCTATTTATTTATTTGAACACATAAATATTGTCAGAATGAGTTTTGTGGAGAGTTTTTAGAAATTTCATAGGTTGAAATCATGAGTCGATTGAAGCTAGACCACCATGGAAAACCTGGAAGCACCGTTGGATGCCGACTCAGTGGTCTAGTGGTTAAGCGCTCGCGCGCGAAGCCAGTAGGTCCTGGGTTCGAACACCGCTTGGTGCGGGATCGTGGATGCGCACTGCTGAGAAGTCCCATACTAGGACGAAACGGCCGTCCAGTGCTTCCAGGTTTTCCATGGTGGTCTAGCTTCAATCGACTCATGATTTCAACCTATGAAATTACATAAATATTGGTACAAGGGGGCACCAAATATATATGCGCCACGTAAAACAATGAGAGTGGGAAGAGAAAAAAGGAATGGAGGGAGCGTAAAACAAAGAAGAACAATAACGACCAGATTAGTGTAAGGTAGTGTAATAATAATAGTAATAATAATAATAATGGGGGAAACTGAAAGGCACAACCAGAAGAAATCTTCCAGTTAAGGAAGATACAACCACTTTTATGAAGAAAGTAAAAGAAGGTTACAGCAGGATCGCCATACGTAACAACAAAAAATAACGCAGTTTCTTCATTTGTTGGCCACATACGATATATGGGTTTTTCGTTAATTAGGTTCAATTGACTGTTGTGTTATTTTAGAATAAGGGAATCCTTTAACTTGGACTTCACCACTGTTGTTTACTGTCTAAACGAAAAACAGAACATGACGAAACAGTTGTACATTATTCTTAGTTTCTCAATAATTGATGGTTTTTGCTGTTTGATAACTTACAATTTATCAGTATGGTTCCCAATAAAATATTAAGATTAAGAAACTGTAATTGTTGATACAGGCGTTACAACGGTCTTCGATACTATTTATTTAAACACAAATATTTGTACAAGAAGGCACCAAATATATATGCGCCACACAAATCATTAGTCTTTCAGATTAAATGTACTGGGTTATTGTTTTAAATTGTGAAATTTTAATAAAAGACATAAAATACCTACCTGAATCAATAATGATCAGCTTAAAATTTATTGTTAATTATTCATAAGGATTTAACCGAATCAATAAAAGCAATATTGTATCAGATAATATATGTTAGTGTTTGATGTGATCCATTTACTTTGTCCATATTCTGACGAAGCTTAATATCTTGTATTTAAGCTTATACAAACTCTAATGTTTAAAGCATATTTGATCATGCATCCAATGTATTTATTTATTTATTTGAACACATAAATATTGGTACAAGAGAGCGCCAATATATATGCGCCACACAAAACAATGAGAATTCGTAAAGAAAAAAAGGTAAGGAGCGTGAGAAAAAAGAGAACAATAACGAAGAGGTTGGTGTAAGGTAGTGTAATAATAATAATAGTAATAATGAGGGAACGGAAAGGTACAATCAGAAGAAATCTTTTAGTTAAGGAAGATACAACCACTTTTATGAAGAAAGTAAAAGAAGGTACAGCAGGATCGCCATTGGCTTCTATTCTGAGCCATATCTGATAACGTCTCTAGCCACTGTGTTGTACCATCTCTCGGACTCCAACCAGGGAGTCGTGAAGGACCAACAGAAACCAGTCCTTTGCAGCTTTCTTTCATGCCACGACACCATGTCATGCACTGACCACCTCTCCGCTTCTTCCAACCAGCCCCAGAGTCGGCAAATAATGCACGACGTGGAATTCTCTAGGACGACATTCGTAGAACATGTCCAAGCCACTGAAGTCGGTGTTTCAAGATGGTGACACCGATTGCATAATCGTCTATGTACCCGACACACACGATGCCGAACCTCTGCATTACTAACATGGTGTTGCCACTGGATGTCAGCAATCCTTCGGAGACAGCGATGATCGAACACAGAGAGTCGTCTAACGTCCTCAACTCGGAGAGGCCAGGTTTCACAAGCTTAGAGCAAAACTGCTCTCACCGGCGCGTTGTAGATCCAACTCATTATAGCCAGACTGACATCACTAAGGTGTCAAAGATGGCCCAGATTGGCATAAGCCGCTCTGGCTTTCACTTTACGTGTATTGATCTCATCACTCACACCCCCACCAGCACTTATGCAGCTACCTGGATACACGAACTTCTCGACTACTTCTATTTGCTCACCATCCAGGGTGAGTACAGGATTGGAATCCTGTCAGTCTTGTAGAAGCACTTTGCACTTCGAAGGTGCAAAGCACATATCATGCCCACGGACATTGATTGCCAACTGATTAAGTGCGGATTGCATGCCTTGGGAATTATCGCACAGTAAGAAAATATCATCCACATACTCAAGGTCGAGAAGTCTATCTCCAGGCAACAGATTCACACCGCCATTACTTACATCAATCAGAGCTGTTTCCAGAATTTCATCGATGGCAAGGTTGAAAAGGAATGGTGAGATTGGGCAACCCTGCCTAACCCCACTGCTCGAATGGAACAATGAAGAGAGGTGGTTGTATGCTTGAGGTATTTGTATATAGGGCCATTAAGATGTTAATAAACTTCTCAGACACACCTTTCTTCAATAGACAATCCCAGAGAACAGTAGACTTATCCCCCGATAGTTGTTACGGGAACGACATGAACCCTTTTTAAAGATAGGGAGATGCAGGGGGAGGACGCCAGACGGAACATCGATGATGACTCTGTCAAAAGTTAGTGCTAGCCAGAAACAGGTAGTTGTCTGTGCTTAGTTGCAGCAGACGGTCCCTGTTATCTGACCTGCGACCAACAAGACCCCATCGGCCACCTAAAAGACTCCCTTCGGTGCCTAGACGCCCGACCTGAGCATTCAAGTATCCGGCTGGTACTACAATATCTGTCGAACGCACTTTCTGGAGAAGAAAAGTTAACTGGTGGTAGAATTCATCCTTGATTGCATCTGGGCTGCAATTTGTCGGAGCGTAGGCGGAGATGACGAAAAGACATCGTTTCTCACACCGATTTCTTCTCAATTTGATGGAACTTTCTAATTTAACAGCACATAACCGACTGTTAATGGGGATCCAATTGATTAGTGCTGCCTTAGCTCTAGTGCTTAGTGCGACACCAACGCCAGAAAGACCAGACGAAGATGCCACAGGGTCCCCGGATAAGCGCACATCAAACAAGCTTTTCGAAGTGACAGATGGAGATCGAATTTGTAGTACTTCACCAGAGTCTTGAATACGGGTCTCGGATAGACAGCAGACATCGATATTAGGACTTTTCAAAGACATAGCCAGCCCTATCTGTTGTCCGAACTGCATAAGTGTGCGGACGTTGAAGGCAGCCAGTTTGAATGGTGCACGTGGTTTCAGAAAAACTGCTTCAGTTCTCGTATTCGGTGGTAGCATACAATTTTCAAACAGGCAGTGACTCGAGAACGTTTAGATAGAGTTGAATTTCCACCATAGGCGAGCTGCTGTATAAGTGGAAAAATAAGGATACACAGAGTGGGAATAAAGGAGAGTGAATAAGTGACATGGTAAATAATAATAATAATAATAATAATAATAATAATAATAATAATAATAATGTGAACTGTTTGACTGTTAATAGAAGCGTGAATAAAATTTTCAGTAAATATTGTCATTTTCATTTTATTTGTGTGTGGGCTGTGTTACTACCCGGGTGCCCAGACCGAAGTAAGTGGTTTTCTCAGGGGGCCACACCCCTAGCCTTTGACCCACAAGGCAGTGGAGCATCGTGAGGAGATGCAGTCCCATGGTAGCCGGCGATCAAGGAATTCGTTCATACGCCATTTGTTCCCTCAGGATACTGGAACCCATGTGCACCATTGATTTGGTTTGGGATCCGGTTAAAGAGCCGGACATTCGCTTTTCGCCCTCTCATTATCGTAAACAACACCCTTGCCACGAGAAGTCAGTGAGTATGACTTCCCTTGAAGAGGCTGTATACATGTGGCCGTGTGAGAGCATTTCGAGAGGGAGGGCGGTCCCCCCACTCACGGCCATACCAGGGCATTTGGGGTCTGTTTTGCTACTGTTGATACTAATATTTTTACTACTTCTACTATGTAGAGGCTCACACCGCTTGGACTTACGTTTTGACAGTTTACATGTATTATTAGCCTAGTTCCTTATGATAGAAAACATGGAGAAAATCTCTGAAATAATGACTAGCAAACAGCGTTTTAGCGATGATTGCTTCTTAAAGAATGTAAAAAGAATCGAGACAATGGTTTTTAAGATAGTGAACCTATTTTTAATTTTGAAAGTTTGCTAGTTGATCCTCAATTTTCCATGTAATTGCTCCCTCCAATTGCCTGATTATGTGTTATGTTTATTCTTTGTTTTGTAATCATCAGATGTGTTGTCCAATACAACTCCGTTTGTCAAATTCGTTGCAACTTACTCTATACCGTTTAACACATCCCGTCTATGGCACTTCAAACCAAGTCAGGTTCTAAATAAATCAGGTCACCCTTGTGATCATCCTTTACTGTGCTTAGATGGCATTCGATTTCTGACCATGAATTGGATAATTTATGGACATTGTATATTGTTTAGCATGTTTGTTGCAAGTGAGCTAAAATCTTTTATTAGTATGAATGAAAATTCTACAAATATCTTTCGAATTTTTTATTCGACGAATGTATAGTTTGTCAAATATGACTCTTCACAAATGGATTAAAATTATTTGCATAGGTAATTTTTATTTTTCAGATAAATAAAAATGATAATAATTTGAAAACGAATTACGAATTTTCCGAATAAAGATATTTCTCTCCAAGAAATGTCACTGTACATATTGTACAGTCGTATTTAAATACAGAAACATCCGAAAATACAGCTTCAATTCATCTGTTACATGTATTTCATAAAACGAATGTTTATTTTCTAATGTACATGTTTGGAATTTGTTAGTTCATATTTTGAAATCAGTATATATACTTAGGATTGGAACTTGAAAGTTTGTATATTGGTGTCGAAAGACAGTCTTTTTTGAACTATTTGGTTTGATAGAAACGTGATATTTGTATGCATTCATCTTGTCATAACTTGATTTTATTTTATTCAATTTAAGTTTCTTGAATAATCTTTTGTAGATAACATGTTACTGTACTCACAAATTCATCAACCAAAATGGACCTATCAAGCAATAATTGGTTCAACTTTGTCTGTGGATACATTCTTTTTTATGTCGTACGTCCACTTAATTAGTTTTTTTTTGCTCATCTTTGACAGAAACGTCATTTCATTTTAATAGTAATCATATTTAATTTTTTCACGCAAATATTCACATTGTTATCGTGAACGTTACTGCTGAGTATTGTTCGATTAAACCGAAATCAATGTGGGTAATTAATAGTTATGTTAGCAAAGTGAGTCACCAATCTGCACACTTATAACTACATATAATAAGAGATATTCATTTTTCATTTTTAACACAGATCAATAGGCAGTAGATTCACCGTAAGGTTGGAAGTAGTTAAATCTTGAGGATATAGGAGTGGACTAGATGGTACTACAGGCAACATTGTTTAGGGTATGAATTATTTTTTAAATGTCAGTTGTTAATGAAGCTTTGTGTATTTGGTGTTATAACCTGTGGGTTTGTGCCCCTACCAATGTATGACGTGATGATACTACCAATTAAAGAACAGTGATTATTGACCGGATCAATGACTCATAAACCCGTACGAGCCGTCTAGTGGCTTTACCGCTCCTTATTCCCGTCTAGCACTTCCTGTTGAGTCCAGAAAACAAATCCCAGTCTCTGCGATGTGAATCATGTATTTCAAACATACTGGGTTTATATACAAACGAAACAGACCACATCGTACCATAAATTAGAAAATAACATTTGTACAAGATTTAGCCAAATGTGGCTGTGAATGTGGGAGATATTAATTGATAGACTGGGTATAACTCAAGAGTGGTAAATTTTATAATAATAGTTCATAGGTCAAAATAAAATTGTAATAATAGGAACGCAAATATGAATAGTTTAGTTATTTACCACTTATGTAACAAATATATATATATATATATATATATATATATATATATATATATATATATATATATATATAGTATTAGTCCAGAAATAGATTCCAACAGTTACCATGAATTATTCTCATCGGGATATAAAATTTGAGTTAAAGATGATAAAGTTTAATCTCATTATTGAAAAGTTGCAACCTGTACACAACTGATGAAAGATGTTTTTTATTACAATTCCAAGTACTTATCTTCATGTGAATTGATGATTGAGTTGAAGTGTTGTATGCATTTTACTAACGATCAAAATTGCTATATATCTGTCGAAGTAAAATGTAGCTTTACACACCATTAAGGATACAGTTTGATTTATACTTCTTCAATGATCTAAGTGAAATTTGAAAAAAATACTAATTTTCCTAATAATACAACAACAAATCTTATAGAGTAAACCAATTAAACTGCATGACAATTAGTCGTTTCAAATGAATTGAATAAATATCGAAGATGACTGGATCATGAAGACGTCAACGTCTGAAGGGAAGTGCGGGATACAATGAACATCTAAGATGCAGTTGGATGATCTAGACTTCGCAGACAATCTGGCCCTTCTATCCCAAACGCAACAACAGATGCAGGGGAAGACGAACAGTGTGGCAGCAGCCTCAGCAGCAATAGGTCTCAATATGCACAAAGGGAAAAGCAGGATTCTCCGATACAACACAGAATGCACCAATCCAATCAAAATTGACGGAGAAGATTTGGAAGATGTAAAAACCTTTACGTATTTGGGCAGCATCATTGATGAACAGGGTGGATCTGATGCAAATTTGAAGGCGCGGATCGGCAAAGCAAGAGCAGCATATTTACAACTGAGGAACATCTGGAACTCAAAGCAACTGTCAACCAACACCAAGGTCAGGATTTTCAATACAAATGTCAAGACAGTTCTACTGTATGGGGCAGAAACCTGGAGAACGACGAAAGCCATCATCCAGAAAATAAAGGTGTTTATTAACAATCGTCTACGCAAAATACTTCAGATCCATTGGCCGGACACTATTAGCAACAACGTACTCTGGGAGAGAACAAACCAGATCTCAGCGGAGGAAGAAATCAGGAAGAAGCGCTGGAAGTGGGTAAGACGCACATTGAGGAAAGCACCCAACTGTGTCACAAGACAAGCCCTCACATGGAATCCTGAAGGCCAAAGGAGAGGAAGACCAAAGAACACATTACGCCGGGAAATGGAAATAGACATGAGAAAAATGAACAAGAATTGGATGGAACTAGAAAAGAAGGCCCAGGACAGAGTGGGTTGGAGAATGCTGTTCAGCGGCCTATGCTCCATTGGGAGTAACAGGCGGAAGTAAGAAGTAAGTGACCTAGAAATGACACTATAGCAATTATAAACGTGATGTTTTTTAATATGCCACTTGTATCATAACTGTAAAGTAGTTTAATACTTAAATAATTAGTAACTACATGAATGTGATTACAATTTACTAGTTTAGAAATGTAATGAAAACCTGAATGCTAATTTTAGTATAAATTTTCTGTTGACTTAATTTGAGGTACTTGTAATTATTTAGTTATTTTTAATGGATTGATCAATATTTTATACAAAATATATGTTCATGGAAGTTGTTGTTTATACTTATTTAATGTTCTACCTATATTATTTAAATGAATTTAGTCGCGGCAGTAGTAGTTAGGTTGTTTTTAAAAATTATTCACACAATCTAAATTTGTTTTATACGCCCACTAGAAGAATTCATATAAATTATATCACTACAATACGCTGGCGCTATATCTCGTAATGTATACAGTGAACTGTTCATTTTCGTGTTTTCTGGATACATATTTATAGAAATATGTAAATTAGAAGTGAAACTGTTATTAACACCAATGTCACAGTGTCCATTTATAAACTTCTTGAATTAAGAGTGTGGACATTGTTACATCTCACATCTAACATTGTCTACTTGAGAATAATTTCGATATTTTAAAATTGCTTTTATCTTATCGTAGTTTAAAACAAACAATTTGTTGGGATATTCAGGAAAATATCCCAAAAATTATCCTGTTAAGTCTAATGCTATCCTTGGACATGAAATAGTATCATCTTATTGGTCAATATTTATTTAACGTGTCATTTTCCTACTGGCCATTATTGTACAATGTTATTTTCTATTTTATGGTACGTTGTGGTCTGCTTGACTGGTATATAAACAAAGTATGTTTGAAATATAATGATTCATATATCCGAGGCTGTGACTTGTGTTCTGGACTCAATTGGCTGGGCTATGCAGGGAAGCGAGACCAATCAGAACCCTAGGTCGTTCTACGTGTTTGTGCGTTTTTGGTCCGATCAATAATTCGCTACCCTCTAATCTGCCGTCACAGTTATAACACAATTTTAGTCTTGTTTACGATTTGTTCCTGTGCATAACATAGTCCTATGTCGATATATTTTACCTTATATTTAGAGGTTTATTATCTACTTATCTCACCATTCCAAAACTCCGACGAATTCCCAGTTGGAAACATTGGATAAAATTTTGGTGGAGTTTCGTATTTCATCGTATTTTACGGTAAGTGTAATCCGAATTGACGGTCACTCACCAATCGACTATTTCTACAGACGTTCAGTGTAGTTCACTGGAATGATAAGCATCAGTGATTTTTTTTTCATGAATTCTGTATGAAGAACGGAAGTTGTTGACTTGATTTTATGCGAACTGGATTGAGAGTGCATTTCTGACTCACGAACTGTTGGTAAAATATGTTCACACAAACCACTATTTTTCGAAACCAATATCTCATGTGATTTGTACGGAATTTATGCGTAGATCCATTTGTTTTAATCCAGTTAAGCCTGTTAATCAGCCCATAAGTGATCAACATTGAATGAATACATTGGTTGCAAATATAAAGAGAACGACCATAGATTATCACGTTGTAACTACATTTTTGTTAGGAATAATGAGTTTGATGAATTTTAAAGAACCTTTCCCAGAACAATAAAACTAAATGGGTAAAATATTATTGAGAAATGAATGTGTTGTATTGAGCAAACTAACGTTTTGTTTAGTTATAAATTGCCCAACACTCACTATAGTTTTGCAATGAAGTTTTGGCCAGTTTCATTTATGATTGTCTACACTCTACAGATGTTCCATGTCATTTCATGCACATATATTCTTTGGAGTGCTTATCATCTTTTCACATATAACCTAAAGTATTGTGGAAAGCGTTGCGTGAAAACCTAAAGACCGAAGTGTATTTCACTCATATTCTTCATAATTATAAAAAAATAAGTTTGCAAGTTGGTGTGGATGAACCCTACGGAAGGTGAAAATACTAATGAACAAATGTTTGCGTTCAGTAGACAAGATGTGTAATTCATGATTTCCTATGATGCTACTCTGTTTTATGTGGACGTTTTTCAACGAAAGTTTCCAAACTTGTTTCAAAAGTGTTCTGTTGGCTTGACTGGTTAGTCTATTTGTTACTGTTTGATATTATAGGTTTATGAAATGGTATTGATAATTAAAATGGATGATAGTTAACTGCGACAGAATTGAAACAAGCATTAATGATTTGTTCACGTAGATTTTTTGAGGTGAAATAAATCATTCCATCACTTGTGTATTGAAAAACGTTTTGCACAATTAACCTTAAAGCTAATTAATCCTATCAACAACGTGTTCTAATCCGCTGAGTGTGGTTATTGATCATGGGTGTATTGAAAAGTTATCCTGCTTAGAGAAGATTAGTTTAAGCACCAAATGTAACATGTATGGTTGGATTGGAGTTGGATAATAATAAGTTGTACATGTAGCTGATTGTATTTTGTGTGACATTGGATAAAGTATGTATTGTGGTTAACTCGAATAATTTGTATTTCATGGAAGTCTAAAAACATCAATCACACATGGAATCACAGAGACGTAATGCGATCTTGGTCATTGATACCTGTGCCTAGAATGAAATCTCAATTGTAATTTGAGAGAAGCTCTTGATTTGAAATGAATATCTACGAGATAATCTTTTATCTGCATTTGTATGTATATTTGTATATGGCTTTAGTTATTCATATCCGTGACAGGAACATGTAACCATAGATTGAAATAAGATCACGTCTCTGTTCTCAATATCTAGTTTTCTGAAGCAAATGGTAAGCAGACAGGATTCAGAGCAGAACTGCGAATTCTCCCATTTTCTGAACTCATCAGTCAGATTTGAAAGAGTGATGGATATATTTTGAGACAGGTCGATTCGGACCAGGGACACAGGAGAGAATGGTGAATGACTGACAGTTTTCGGACTGCTAGTTTTAGCGAACCAAACTTGATATGAATGCTTGAGAAGCAACAACTGTCATGGTTCAATCCATCATTTGAAATTGTGGCATTCATTAGCAATAACGAATTATGAAGAGTGAAAATTCAGGTGAACAGTTAGGGTGTTTGTGTCATGCGTTTGCGATTTATCTTGGATTATTGGTAAGTTTTGCAGTTACTTGAAGTCAACGGGTTTCAGTTTGATGCGTTATTGAGGTTGAAAGTTAACTTTTCATTCAACTGAGAATTGGAGTTGCTGCTCCTCAAGAATTTCATTTCAACGACTCAATTCGTGCAATGAAGGTTTACTCTTTTGCTCGGTTTGTGTTGCGTTCTCATACGTATATACAAAAATTCTGCAACAATTTGGAAGACTCTCTCGGTCTACCACATTGTGCGATCATTCTATGTACCTAAATAAATGGTTGTCAGAAGGAGCATCAGCTTCGTGGCTTCCAAATGAGCTCGGCTTTCACCATGAGGCGTCATAACTCTTCTAAATGAAGACCTTCTGACTCCTAGGGCAGAGTGTAAGTGGTTTGAAAATTTTTTTCTGATAAGCATTTTTTAGCGAGTTAGTTTTCTACTGGATGTGGTCGCTGACTCCATTCCTAACTCTCCTCCTTTATCCGTGCTTGGGACCGGCAGCAGATCCAGAGAGGCTCCAGGCTGATTTATATAAAAAATTAACTTCGTTTTATCTTTGATCAGTGACTTCTGTTTTGTTCATAAAGTCACAGTAGACGTCACCGAATGTTTTAGACGACCACCTCTGGAATATACTTTTGACTCCAACTGATGTCATGTATCTCATTATCAACTGAATGACTCATATTATATCGTGTCTCTTGAAATATTGTACATCATGTTTTAGTCCTGATGTTGTCTTAAGTTTTCATTGATATATGTGCAAGTAGTGGTGTTGCATAGTGTAATGTGTCTGAAAGCTACAGTAAATCTCAGATTTGAATATATACTGAAAATAATATACTGTTGATCAAATTACTTAATCTGCCTGGTCATTAGTTGTTTTCGATTAAATATCTAATATTGAAAATCACTTTCTTTACTTACAGCGCTAAGTTACTTATTAACATTAAGTAGTTTATCTTCAGATTTATTAATAACTTGAACAACGTTTAGTGTGACAAACTATTATTAGCAACAATACTAATGGTAATAATAAGATTAATAGTAATAATAGTAATGTTCGACGTACATTTGATTGAATGATGTAGTGTGTATAGTTGCTGTGACTTATTTAGATTTTGGGTAAATGAATATGTTATGATTGAACTTGAAAAATAATTCCATACTTAGATCTGACAAATGAAGTTTCCTTGATGAAGTTTACCCAATAATTTGTTTGTAAAATATACTGATAAACCTGACGATTATTTCTTCATAAGCTAATATTCATGCTTAGGATGAAAGTATTGCTTCAGAACGTCGGTAGTCAAATTTAGGCACTAATGAATATATGATGTATGTTTTATTTACATCCAGTTGTATAAGTTCCACCAACCAAGAGTAACTTTAAATATCCCAAGTGAATAAAGTTGCAGTAAAGTAATATAAAGTTAAGCAATATTGATAGGTAAGAAGGACTTAATTTGGAATTTATTCTTTACAGTTATACACATAAATATTGTAAATATATGTTGAAAGCTCCACGACTAAACAATCCAGCTCAGTGAACAAAACTCCATCACATTCATCCACCTGAGCTACAAATCTTCTCTACCATACTTCTCTAGTATTTGATGTCTCTTGAACACAACTTTATATGGAATGTAGCCGATGTTAATTCGTGGTGAAAATCAGCGTACTATAGATTAGGTGTTAATTAGTTTTAAGATATTAGGTAAACCGCGGAATAGAGACTACAAGTATAAAAACAAATATTAGTTAGTAGCTTGCAAACACTGAGAAAGAATATCTGATTTCGTGTGTTTCATGTCAGTTTACATAGGTAGTTTTGAGGTTATTATTTCAGATGTCGTATAAGTTGGCATATCACTTATTAAAGTGACTGATCTCATCTCTTTGATCAACTAGGAAACATTTCAAGATCTTCGTACTATACTGTTGTTTGACTGTGCACATCATCTCATAGGAAATTTTAATCTCATGACCGAACTTATGTATTCACAAAATTGTCCATCTTTCAATTCAATAACATGTTTATTCACTCAAATTAGGAACTACAGAAAAAAGTTAGAGATTATTGTCTGTGAACAATTTTCAAGATGATTGTTTTTGTATCAAATGTCGCGTTTTCTTTTAAATTTCAGTTTAACTCCAGCTTATTTTTTAGTCTTGATACTGTATACTGGATTATTTAATCATGCTTATGTCGGTCCAATGTATCCTCAAACTCCCAATTTGATGGATATAAAATTTTGTCGTGATCATTGGTGGATAACATATTTGAATAATTTCATTTATCCAGATGAAACGGTAAGTGAATGACAAGCTGTTCTATGAAATAAGCTGTATGAATCTGTTTGGTTTTAGTGCTTTATCATTGCTACAGATATCATCTTCTTCGACACTATGAACTTCACTGGGAATCAGTGAAAACGTCTCATAATAAACGTTATGTATTTCCATGACTGGATGAAGTGAAAACGATTATCAGTGACTGGTTCGAAGCACAACTACAAAATTTAGTGAATCCAAGCTTATGATATTATTGAATAACTCTGATTCTAATATGAAAATTGGTTATGGTATATCATCAAAGGGTCACGGAACTGCTAAATTTTAGAAAATGAATATTCACAGGAACTGAAAAAGATGGTACTTCAAATAGATATGGACTATCTAATATTTCATAGACTGAAATCATGAGTCAATTGAAGCTAGACCATCATGGAAAACCTGGAAGCACTGGACGGCCGTTTCGTCCTAGTATGGGACTCCTCAGCAGTGGCGCCACTTCGTGGACTGGTTGAGGTTAGACCCAAACACCATTGGATACTGGCTCAGTGGTCTAGTTGTTTAAGCGCTTGGCGCGTGACTGATATGTGCTGAGTTCGAATTTCGCGCGGTGCGGGATCGTGAATGCGCACTGCTGAGGAGTCCCATACTAGGACGAAACGGTCGTCCAGTGATTCCATGGTGGTTTAGCTTCAATTGGCTCATGATTTCAGTCTGTGAAATGTCTAAAATTTCCACAAACCCCTTCTGATATCTAATATTTGTAATAAAGTATAATAATCCCAATGAATGCAAACACCAAATATTCTGATGTTTTGTGACTTAGTATAAGTCACTTCTTCTCACAATAAAGAAATAAACAAAGTGCTTCAATCTCCACTATTCCTCTATACTTCGTTAAATTAACCCGATGAGTTTACATAGTAAAAGAGAATTAGATAAAACTATTCATTACAATCAATCAACCAAAAACATATCTGACCAAGTCAACGTAACGTCATTCCAGTCAAGATGATTTCTATGACACATGCTAGTGGATTTTCTGGGATGATGTTTGTTTAGTGAGAATGTGACATTCGTAATATGAAAGGATAAAGTTGAATTCGTGTGATAATTATGTAAGATGTACATGGATTTAGACATTGTAACTCGGATGGATAGTCCAAGTCATATGGATAGTAAGGCCTTTTTTCTTCCTATTCATTTTTTCTTTATATCTACTTAGTGTACAATTGTCACCTATATTTCTGACTGTTTATTTATTTCCACCCTACCACCCTTTTCTAACCCGTTGATCAAAACGCGACCTTCTCTTGATATTTGACATCTCGAATGAGTGTATGAAGCCATCTCTCCTATTATTCTATAGATCTATGTTTGGCCGAAATTATTAGCAATGTATTCTGTTTTACTTTTTAAACTCATCGGGTTAATTTAACGTAGTATGGAGGAATAGTGGAGATTGAAGCACTTTGCTTAGTTATTTATTGTGAGAAGAAGTGACTTACACTGAGTCACAAAACATCGGAATATTTGGTGTTTGCATTCATCGTGATGTTATAAACAGTACATTTTATTGGGAATCCACAGAATGTTCAGTGTATTTGAAACGGTCAAGTCAACTTTTGGTAATGATGCCAGTTGATTGTTTGTTGTTTATTGTTAAAATGCACTAATTCTGTACATAGTTATTCAAATAATGGTTGGAAATGTGAAAAAGTCATTTCTTCCTAGACATTAAATACACAAGTTAAAGTATTTTAATAGTTGAATTGATGAATTGGTTTAAGCCAAACCACCGTTGAAAGTCTGAATGCTCTATTCGATATCTTTCACGCTTACATGCTTACCTCGTGATTTATTTTTCTGAAAATTCTTCATTTTTCAGTGCATGGGATGGTCATGGTATTTGTCAAATGAAATTCAATTTTCAATTGTGTTATCTCCAATCTTCTTATGTTTAGTAGCATGGTAAGAAAGCTGTGACAGTTTAGTTGAATAACTCTGATATTGTTGTGTAAATTATAATGAGTGAACTTGTATGAAGGAAGGTGTTACTTAATATTTATTAACATTGATTTGAATTGAAAATATTTTAATAAAAGGCGAGTTATTTTCGGTTGAAACACCAAATTCCTTGAGAGTAAATATTCATTAACACTATGTTCCTGTCGACAAATATGGCCAAAACTCAGTAGTGAATTAAATCAGATACCACTGTGGAGAAATGAATTGTTGTTGTTGTTGTTGTGAAGCCTGTTATCCCTTTTGGAGTATCACAAGTCGCCCAACTTGATTCTCCACTGAATTCTATTGTGGGTAATGTATCCCAGTTGTTTCCAGTTGCTATTCATTCTCTCGATATCTGCTTTTAATTGCCGACACAGTGTGTGCTTTGATCTTCCTCTTTTTCTCTTGCCTTCAGAATTCTAAGTTAGCGCTAGTCTCGTGATGAAGTTTGATGATTTCCGAAATTTATGTCATATCCACTTCCTCATCTTTTGGTAATTTCGTCTTCAGCTGAAAGCTGATTTATTCCATTTTAGAGTAGGTTGTCGCTGATGATATCCGGCCAACGGACGGATAATTGTTTATAAATAATTTTACTGCTTTGATGCTAGTTGTAGTAGTTGTCGAAGTTTCGGCTCCGCAAAATTGAGCTATCGTGATGTTCGTATTGAAGATTCTGAGTTTGATGTTAGCTGACGTTTTTGAAAGATCCATATGTTCTTTAGTTTTAAGAAATGTGGCCCTTGTTTTGCCAATCCATGTCTTTACATCTGCATCAGATCTTCCTTGTTTATCAATGATGTCGTCCAGGTACTTTAAAGCTTCTCCATCAAGTATGATTGGATTGGTGTGCATCGTTTTGTATATGAGGGTTCCGCGTTTCCCCTTGTGTATGTTCAGGCCTACTGCTGCCGAGGCCGCTGCGATACTGACTATCTCCGCCCACATTTGTTGCTGTATGCGACAGGACAGCTATCATCTGAGATGTTCAGTTCTTCTAGTTGCATCCAAACTGTTGATTGTATTCCGTGCTTTCCCCGAAATGTGAAGGTCTTCATAATCCAGCCAGCCACCAGAAGAAAAAGAAAGGAGGGGAGAGTAGGAACCCTTTTCTGGCTCCGGTCCTCACTTGAAATGCATCTGTCAGCTGTCTTCCATGCACAACTTTGCACTGTAGTCCGTCATATGAATTCCGAATGATGTTAACTGTTTCCTCATGTTCACCATAGTGTTGGAGAAGTTTCCATAAGGTTCTCCTGTTCAATCTGTCAAGTACTTTCTCATAGTTAAGGAAGTTGATGTTTAGTGACAAGTTCCATTCAATTGAATGTTCAACATTGAACCGTATTGAAACAGTTTGGTTTGTGCACGACTGATCGTAATGGCATCGTAATGTTGATCTCGAAGTTATGTGTTTACTGAGTCGTTCATTCAGTTCAGAACCCTCTGTTGAAGACGTTTCCTGTTACTGATAGTAGTGTGTTGCCTCTGTAGTTCTCACACTTGCTCAGATCGCCTGTGTTTGGTAACTTGATGAGGTATCTTTCTTTTCAATCTGTTGGCACTGGTCCTTCCTCTCAAATCTTTCTGCATGAAAGGTGGAGCATCTTTGAAGATACTCCTATTCAAAGTGTTCTATCCATCTGTTCCTGTGTTCTTAAGTCTGAGTGATTATCTCCCCTCATTTTGTGTTTGGCTGATCGCTTTGCTTTACCATATGCCCTTCCACTTTCTTCGTTATGTCATACAGTTGTCTCATATTTCCTTCTGCTGCAGCCTTTTGTTTTGTCATTGCTAGATCTTCTACATATTTCTGCTTTTGGGTCTTGATGCTGTTCATTATCCGTTTGTTTCCACCTGCGTATCCGGTCTATGTCTTGATTTTCTCTGTTATTGCCTGATTGATGTTGATTGCTGCTTTCTCGTTCTTCCTTTCTTGAGTCCTGTCCAGGGTTTTGTGAGAGATCCATTAGTTATGTTGGTACTTCTTGCGGCTCAGAACCTTCCGGGAAGTTGAAGTTAGTGCTTCTTTGATCCATTTCGCTTGTTCTGGATAGTAGGTTCTACTACTTTCAGTAGATCCTGTAAGGCTTGAAACTTGATAAGCAGACCATGGTTTTTATCAATACACTGCACAGTATTTATCACTGAGTTCTCCATTTGACTTTCCAGTCAAGTAATCAATAAATTTTCTACATCCTTAAATCAATTTTGATGATTTTTAGGAATGAATCTATCGGTGTACTGTTTGGTTTTGGACTTGTAATTTCCAGTATCGCGTCCACATTTGGCATATCTTATGCGAATGATTATTTACCTGGTCTTCTATCAATGTAAGCTAATGAATGTTATAACTTATTTACTCAATTCTTCCATACGTCACTGAGGTTGTGTAGACGTGTAAAAATTGAAAATCACTATTCTACAAAAATATCTGTACGATTTTATTGAGTAAGCTTCATTATACTGACTAATAGATGACAATATCAAATAATCATTTTCAAATACTGATAGCATCACAACTATCGATCGTAGATGGAAAATAAATTGATTTCAGCTGGATAGAGCCCTGATCACGATCTTGGCAGCGACGTTCCTCAATTGTTCGAGTGTACGACTTATTTCAGTCACTTGCAAAAATAATTCGAAAACTATTGAACTGGAAACGATTTGAAAAATATCTGCTACAATTCTTTAATTCTCTGGAACTTGTGGCGAACCTGAACACATTGATAATATAAAAACAGATTGATTAACTTGTTCATCAAATAATTAGTTATAAGATACGTTTCAGACGTGTGAACTAGTATCATTGCATGCGCGTGCAAACCGTAGTACGTATGGCAGGACACGAACGTGGAATCTTATGTCGGAATCGCGATCGCCTAAACTACTCAGCCATCGCTTGATTAAATCAAGAGAATCCAATGTTTCGTTTTAAAAAAGAAACGTGCAGTAGAGGAGACATTGTACGACGTTAGGTAGTTCGATCAATTAGTTTGACTCTGGTGTATCTGAATCTTTTATGTAAGTTATCACTCTTGATCAAAGCGTATCTCCAACGATGAGTCGGTACTTGGCAACCTACTCAATAGAATTCGGTAAGCAGCAGAGACTAGACAATCATGAAATTGGTTGCCACTCAGTGATGAGTCAGTTCACAGCTTAGATCATTAAGGAGACATTACTGGGAGTAGGAAGTAGTTTTGATTTTGTTAAAAGTTATCAGTATCAGATGTCTGTCGTACTATCACAACACAAAAGCATTTCTGCGATTAGTGATACTCAAAACAATTGTAGAATACGCGAATTTGGTGAACAACCGATTTTTTAGTTACATCGTATTCAATCCAACTAGTATGTGATTTATAAAAGTAATGTAGATGTGTGGAGTTTTTTAGTGGTAGACCAGTGGGAGATGTCAGGTTTGTATCTGATAGTTCGTAAAGTTGTAAAACAAGGTAGCTCTAAAGAATATAGATTAAAATCAATCGACATAAGCTACCGGTTGTGATGTAGTTACATTGAATACTGAAGGGGCTACTGTTGAGAAAATTAAGTAACATGATTGTTTATTTCGAAGTTGGTGAACGAATCCTGTATGCTCATTCGGTTGCAGATGTAGATGTTGTCATCTGTAAGATAATCATTAATGCTTTTCTTTGAGTGGATTGGTTAGGGTATATGAACGCAACAAAAAATCCACTTTTCCCTCTCTAAATATAGTCAAGCTAAATATTCATGTAAGTTTTCATTTGAGTTTTATTGTAAACGTTTTTGAACGACCTGATAAATATTTCCTGTAAATTAACTTATCTAGTTCATCATTCACAACTATTTACATAAAGCCGTATACACGTTGGAGTACATATGCTATTGGCCTTTTATTGGGCTGGTTTCTCGAAAAATATCCCACTATTTTGGAAGTAAGTTTTTTAACTGAATAAAATTAATGAACACCACCCTGGATTTTCAACTTCTGTCAATGTTTTAATTTCTAGATTTTTCATTTTTATTCGTTTATGTAAATTATTCATAGATGGAAGACTGTTTTCATTACACTGCGATTTTAATTCGGTTTGAAAAACACGGTCATTACTCTCTTAAACTAGACTTACTCATAAAGTCTAGTTATTAACCGGTTTGATAATTGGCTCTACACTAAAATTTATATATGTTTGATTTACAACAACTCCGCCTGGATTCCCTCTGAGGCTGCTGCCAGCCCCAAGCGCGGATAAAGGAGGAGGGTTGGACATAGAGTTAGCGACCCTATCCCGTAGAAAACTAACTCGCTAAAAAACGGCAAACAGAAAATGATTTACAACAATGAAAGAATACTCATCTAATAGTGGCGTTACGTAATAATTAGATTATGACACTGACTATAAAATAGTCATAATAATAAAAATAATACTGGTAACAATAATTTTATTTTGATTTAGTTGAAAATATGTGAATGGACAGAATTGAATAATAATTGCTCTGAATTTTGTAACTCGAAATACTGAGCAAAATATTTAACATTTGTAGTTTGTGGTCGTTAGTTTCATCCTATTTACTACTTGTCAGTTAGATTACCAACAGTTCAGTATGAACACAGGTGCATTCACTCTTTGTCTTCTCTGAGAAAAAGTTTCAAAATTATTTTATAAATATTATCGAAATTGCATTCCACCCATGGTTATATTCATTTTGAATTGTATCATCGAGCTAATGCTGTTACCACCTCGAATGTTCTGAGATTTATACTGAAAACTTCAACCCTCAGTGCAAATAAGAAGTGGTAACCCCATCCAATGTAAACATGTGCCACGTTCTATTTCGAAAAAATGAACGAATGGCTGAAGAACCGATATCCCTGTGATTGGTGTATGCCTGTCATAGACGTAATTGAAAATAGTAATATCTAAATACTTATCTCTCAAATTGTTCCTCAGTTCACTTAAATATTCATTGACTGCAATAAATATCCATTATATTACATTTATGAAGTAACTTTCATTCTACTTTTAGAATGTGAATACAAAAATGAAGGTTTTGATTGGTGTGATTGGTGTATGTCTGTCATCCATATTCTGTGTATCTACTGTCTACGGATTGTATGGACTACTAAGTGGAAAGGTCGGACCATTCACAACGTTTGGAGCTGCAACTTATACAGCATTCCATCGACCTATTTTTATTCTCGGTATTGCAATCGTTGTATCGATGTGTGCTCTTGGTTGTGGTGGTAAGTCAGAGTGTGAATTATACCATATGATTCTATATTACTCATCGTTTCTCAACTCAGTGTTCTAAAACATAGAATGTTTAGATAAAGCTTAACTATGATGTCCACATCTGATTGAGAATACCTGGTGTTCTGGTCCGACAGTTTACATTGTTATAGCACTGATGATCTAATTTGTAAGAAATCGTGATAAATAACATTGATGTGATTGAATTTATATTTCGAATTAGGTGCGCTCTAATCATTGTTTGAGTATGATGAAATCAGTAAGAGAGGAATCGGTAGGTCTGATTGTAAATCTTCACTGGATGTTTCAATGTCGAGACTTGTTGCAAACGTCTAGAAGAGCTGTGCTGAAGAGCATAGGTGTTTGTTATTGAAGAACGTAAAGAACAGTAAGATGAACTATTCTGAATTATTCTATGTTAATTGGACATGCTTTAGCTAAGTATTTGGTGTGGTCAGTATTTTACATCTACTGGTTTTGTGATGTACTTTTACGTGTACTCTTCCAGTGAGCAGAAAACGTGAGACTATATGAACCAGATGAAATAATCCGATATTACTCTCATATTTCATAAAGTTTGACTTCATGACAAATATACAGTGTCACATTAGTTTGGACGAATCTAAATTCCTTTTTCTACCATTCCATGCTTACACAGGTCCAATTCGCTGGATTCTCACATTGTCTGTATTCCGTGTTCCTTCACGGTTGACATATACAGCTTATCTTGTACATCCGATAGTGGTTCTATTCATCGCTTTAGGAAGTCAGAACCCAATACTGCTGGATGACCTGCATTTGGTGAGTCCTGTTCTGAGTTATAAAACGTAATTGAGTATTCTATAATTCAGTCTGGTTACTGATACGTCTTTATAACAACTGACTAGTTTGAGTTTTAAACTGTAACAATTTAATGTTATCTTGAATAGTTTAGTTATGAAGCAGAGATTTATTTGAGATACTGCAGGAAATTGATCAGAACCTTTTATCGTGATACTCAGCATCACCTTCTAATGACCAGCATCTTGCATTGATAGTCATTACACACATTTAAGTTAACAATCCACATATTTGATATTTTTATGGCAATTCTCATGGTTAGTCTGATGGAATTGATTCTTCAGTTAATTTGTCAAACAGATATTACTGGTCTCTTATGTTCTATAAAATAAATCACAACTCGTAACATTTCCACCTTCTGAAGTTTGCGGTTCAATTAATTACGGAGAATGGTATGTATTAGAAGAGATGTTTGTCATAACAATTTACTAAGAATCGAACTGTGAACTGTTAAAGTCAACAAACGAAGTTCTTATTGTTTTGTTTGACTTAAGGTGAATTGGTGTAAGGGGTGGATGTTGATCACTGTCGATCTTCGTAAATCACCAATAGATCACATATTTGCATTTATTTCTTAAATGAATAACTCCACAAAGTACTTTCGAGTGGAACAAATTGCACCAGAAAAGCCTGTGTTTTTATAGTTCACACCCGAGTTACATGTGGTGTTGGTCGAATAAAGTGTAATATTTTCTCGTGTATTTTCTGTTGAATCGTTATGATAATATTGTTATATGACATGATACTTGACATCTACATGCCTTAGTAAATCCATATTCAAAGTGGTAGTTTAGGAACTAATTAATGTTGAGACCGTGTTCTCTATAATCTTCCATCATTATGTGGAACACGTTTTATAGTATTTGAATGCCAAGTAGGCATTTGAACATGTTAGTGAATTTCTCTTAAATCATAATCAGTCGATTTTACTGTTGTGGTTCTACAAACACTGAGTTTCGTTGAATAATCGAAGTAGATTTTGATGATCAAACCGAAATTATCCAACTGAATCATGATCTGTTCTCATTTAATATATTTCGGCAGTGAATAACGATAGAATATAGAGTGATCACTCTGTGTTCAAGCGTGTTGACTTACGTTTTTATTCACTGGATTCTTCAATCAAATCTCACGATTATATCATTAAATGTATTAACTAATTTCTTGTTTTTCATCCACAAATGTTCAAACAATTGTCAAACTTTGGAGACTGTTGTAATAAGGTAGATAAACAAGAAATAGATGTTGAACAATATTTTATTGTTTCGATTGTAATATGACAATGCAAACAATCTGGAAATACATGGATGCATACATATACATTCATGTTATATCCTAGCGAAGATTACATTACGAGTAACTTCTGAGACCTATTATTAAACTAATATCGTGTGTATGTACTTATGGTATAACTATTCAGTAGTTAGATTGTGCATATCTATATTCTCCTCATTATACGCTTCGTTTTGACCCATAGATTAGTATTGTATGATTTATTGTTCCTAAGCTATGTTCAGATTGTTGATTATCGTCTCCCACGTTCAAAGCCACTATTTGGCTTTATTGTGTATGAATTTTATTTCTGATTTTATGGTGCGTTGCGATCTGTTTGTTTTTTATGTAAACCCAGTATGTCTAAATTAAATGATTCGCATAGTGGAGGCTGTTGTTGGCATTCTGGACTCAGCTGGACAAGCAACGAAGAAATAGGATGCTAGGCTGATCAGACCGGTCGGACGTCATTGGTGTAGTACTGTATAAGAGCAAATGAGTCGTATTTTGATTGGCGACTAGATTACGTGATAACTAGCGGTGTTATACAACTTGTTAACTATTCGGCAACAAAAACATTGGACAATATGCTCAATGACGAAATTCCCTATCACTAATGGACGGGTGTCTGATGTTTGGGAACCGACTAGTTGTACCAACAAAATTACGTTGAAAGGTGATGTTAGAACTGCATGCTGCACACCCAGGCGTAGCACGGATGAAGGCATTTGCAAGTGGCTATGTATATTGACCGAATATTGATGCTCAGATCGAAGAATATGCTGCGAGATGTTCCGCGTGTGCGAAAGCCATCAAAGCCCCTGACAAGACAGAAATGCAGAGTTGAGAAGCACTGACAAATCCATGGTCGAGAGTGCAGGTGGATTTCGCCGGTCCCATAAACGGGAAACAGTACTTGTTAATCGTTGATGCCTTCTCAAAATGGCCATAGGTCCACTACATGAAGTCTGTTTCGACAAGAGCTACTATCGAAAACTGAGACAAGTATTCAGCTGCTTTGGGTGTCCAGATATATTGGTGTCAGATAATGGACCACAGTTTACCTACCTCTGTCGAATTTTCGAAGTTCTGCATTGACAATGCCGTGAGGCAGATGAAGACACCTCCATACCATCTGCAGTCTTACGGTTTAGTCGAGAGGTTCGTAGACACGTTTAAAAGAACACTGCTTAAAGTCGAAGGAGAAAGAGAAATAGAAGATATGATTCGAAGATTTTTACTAACTTACTGTGCAACACCCAACCCAGCAAAGCAACAAATAATCAAGAAAGTCCAGCAGAAGCAATTTTTGAAAAAGATTAGAATACCTATAGAAGAAATGAGACCAAAACCTAGAACCAGCCTCTGGAAGAATAAACAAATGGAATGACAATTCAACACTCGACATAGTGCATTACCCAGAAGGACCAATAGGATGCTCGGCTGATCAGACCGGTCGGACGTCATTGGTGTAGTACAGTATAAGACCGAATGAGTCGTATTTTGATTGGCGACTAGATTACGTGATAACTAGCGGGCCGTACCATATTATATTTAGTTTATTAATTATCGTCTCCCACGTTCACAGCCACCATTTGGCATTATTGTGTATGAATGTTATTTCTTATTTTATGGTGCGTTGCGGTCTGTTTGTTTTTTATGTAAACCCAGTATGTCTGAATTAAATGATTTGCATAGCGGAGGCTGTTGTTGGCATTCTGGACTCAGCTTGACGAGCAACGAAGAAATAGGATGCTAGGCTGAACAGACCGGTTGGATGTGATTGGTTTAGTACAGTATAAGAGCGAATAAGTTGTGTTTTGATTGACGACTAGATTACGTGATAACTAGCGTGCCATACCACAAAGACACAACAATTCAAAAAAATCAATGCAAACATGAATATATGTATGTTTATACGGTTTAGTACAAATACAACTGACTGTTTTAATCTCTCTCCTTCCAGATAGCTATGTTCTTTGCCGTTCTACCAATTACTTATTGCTTGGCATACTTGGTCACACTGGCAACTGAGTCACCAGTGTTAGCTATGACACATAGTTCTGGAGGGAAAAAGCCTTTGTCATCAGAAAGTTCTATGTAAACGAAAGCAATCGATCATGAGTAAAATCTAGTCAAATCAGTTTTCACTCCTTGTCTTTCTTGAAGTTATCAATTTGTATACCAATGTAAAGCTATGGAATTTCGCTTAGTAGTTTTACCATTTTTCCATTTTTATAGTCAAAATAGTACTATATTAGTGAAGAATTTTGAATAAGATGATAAGTCGTTCTGTGATATTATCTAGTCATTTTTCAAGTTACCCTTGTAATTTAACAACCTGAAATTTCATTCAACCCCGATTGTTGTTTATTTCATTTCTTCTTCAATTCAATATTCGAATTCTTGCGATTTAGTGATTTAGTTCGAATAAATATTTTAACATGTCAGATTATTCAAATTGTTTATGATTGGGTTTTCTTTGAATGAAATGTAGAACTTAATTTGCTGATCATGATTCTATTCTGTATTTGATGAGTGTATATATCAATGACATTATAAGCAATTAGATGATTTCAATATTCATAGAGCTAATTGTGATTCTGGGTGAATGTAAACACTACTGATGCTTAAAGGAAATACAATGAACAAATGTCATGGAAACAATTTCAAAATTGTACACTCTAAAGTCAGTGAACTATAATTATAATTAGGTATTGATTTCTATAAACTGGTCTCTTACTATTTAAGATTCTAGTCATTTTATATGACATTAATATGATTAGTAAACTGTAGATAAAAGAACGAGTTTTCTTTATAAGAATTTATTTTATAACCAATATTTTCTTAAACTACGAAAGAGGTCTTTACGTGAAGCAAAAAATGATTTGAAATATGCTTATATACGATAAAACTGGAGAGTGTCATGAATTGATTAACTTTTATATCTGTGTTTCTAGTGATGGTCGATTGTTCTACTTCTGGGTTTCATTCGATCTGAATCGGAAATACATAGTGTCTATGATAATTTTGTTTGATTCAGAGTGAAAAGGATAGTGGAAGTGTCGGCTTTAGTACTATCCCGCTAAATGTGTTGGTGTAATTATACCGTTGAACATTAGTAATACCTGATGAATGGTTCCGTAATTAATTTATGTTTTGGTAGAGTAATAGTTTATATGTAATCATTTTTACAGAGTAGAGAATAAAGTTTAAGTTACCGCATGATTATCAGTGAATTTATTCAGGTTATCAATGGAATTAGGTTCAACAGATTGTCGAAAAGTTTAAATATTTTTCCATTACTCAAATAATTAGGAAACGATCATTTAAATTTCGGTGAACTACATATTTACATCAAATTAATGTAACACAAGTCAGAGTGAATGGAAGAACTAAACCGTTACACGGTCATGAAGCATTAAACATATATATGTGTTATATCTAATTTAACAGTATTTGAAAGCACGCTTTTAGGTAATATCCAAATGAAATAATAGATTTTCCTTTAATTAAAAATCATTCAAAACAATCAAGTAATGACTGATTACTGTGTTCATTAATGTAAAGTTTAAACCAGTAAACACAGGAAATGTACCTGTGGAGAGTGTAAACTATCCTTACTTGGTCCTATTATTACCCTAATTGGTATCGCGAATAAACGTATATATAATGTTCATCTAAATCCTTTTATGTATCCAAGCTAAACACATCCTTAATTTTCAGATTTTACTTAAAACACTTGAGAATAAACAACATGTTATTCACTGTGACGAAAATCTGTGATTGTTCATTTGTAGAATTTGAAATTCAAGCATTCGAATATTAGTAATTTATTTCATATTACTAATAAAACCTGATTAATATAGTTTGCTTGAATAACCCTACAATAGTGACTTTAAATCATCATTACCTATTCATTACATGCAATCAATTGACGTAATTAAAAATCGATAAAAAGTACGTTCTAAATAGCAAAGCTGCAAATAACGTTCACTAGTAGGAACCTTTTTTCTTTATCCGTCAAATGTAAGCTTCCTTGTCTGGTCACCTCCATGTGCATGTACCAGTTCACTTGCTTTTATGGATCGAGATATATAGACCGTAGCCACCGCTTGCTTTTAACTCGGACACGAGAACATGTACCAGCGTGATTCTACAAGGGTGTAAGGAATTCAGTTAGAAGTTGCATTCTTGGACATTTAGTTGATTCAAATCACTCAAACGATTCACAGGTTTATTTTATGGTTGTTGGTACAATTTATCCAAATCTACTTAGATTTCGTCGAATCAAATTCATTAAAGCAACCGATGCTGTTGCCATTCATGAGATGTAGGCAGGAATGTGCGTACAAAAGAAGTACGTGTTATTCGCATTAGCCTCAAACTTTACTTATTATTATTACCACTATTGTTATGTTTTATACTGGAATATATAACCCTCTCTCTTTGTTTCCATTTCATATCCTCTTGATTTTATTCATTAATTGTATCTGAGATCACTTAATTTCATTTTACCCCTCCATTACCCTTAAAAGTTGTAACAAAAACATTCTAATTCTTTTGCTTCATTCACATAACAATCCGTTGCTAATTGATCAATCTTTCAAGGATTTCTAGTTTCACACACAACCTTTTATTGCGATAACTCATATTACGTAATTTAGGATTATGATCCTTCTATTACATCATCGCGTTAATTCCTTGTTCATATGTCCTCACGTAACTTGTACTTTAATAAAAATTTTCCATATATAATATACAATGAATTCGTTGAAAAGAGATCCCTCTTCTGATCTTCGTTTTTTCAACATTCGTTATATGTCAAAATATGAAATTCGTTTTTTATTAGACATGTGTATTGAACGAAGACTTAATGAAGTCAATCACATTATTAATTAACACAAAATTACAGAGTTCTTCGGTAATATGTGAAAACCATACATTAAGTACTTCGTTGGAAAATCTTCCATCAGTTGTTCTTTACATCTTATATGATTCTTTTTTTATTTTCTTCAGTTCAATCTGATCGGTCACATACTACTTATATTTATTAATATAAGTAGCCTTCATCACACATGTACCTCAATGTACAGCTAATGTGTATGTAGGAAATGAAATCGATATTTACAGGATTAACAGTATGAACAGAATTCTAGTCAAAATGATTGTCTTGAACCTATAACACAGACTTATTGGAGATATCTCTTGAAGCATTACGTAAACTTAAATTAAATTTATCATCAACTCCTAAAAATTAATTACGTATTATCAATACTGACTTGAAAGAAGAGATTTTGTTCTATGCTTCAACGGTCAGTTCAATAAGTATAAGAGTACTTTTCTGAGTTATTATTTTAATTACAAAAATTAGTTTACTAAAATTAAATAATAAAGAGATACGATCCAAAAATTTATATCAAACTACAATTTACTAGACAATGAATAAATATAAAAGCAAAGGATTTCAGAAATATCGAACATGCTTCTAGAAGAGAATATATCTAAGGTAAACTTGGTTTCATAAAGCACACTGAGCTGTTTTTTCAGTTGATTGATATTATAATAATAACAATTTACATAATGAAATCGTCATAATTTCTGCCCTAATAATATATAAAGTAACGATTACGTCAGTTAGAGAACAAAGATTTATCGACCAGACCAATAACGCATAAAACACGTACGAATAGTCTAGAGTCTTTATAGATCCTGCTTCCAGCCTAGCACTGCCTGTTGAGTTCAGAAAACAAATCCCAGCCTCTGCGATATGAATCATGTATTTCAAACATACTGGGTTTATATACAAACGAAACAGACCACATCGTACCATAAATTAGGAAATAACATTTGTACAAAATTTAGCCAAATGTGGCTGTGAATGTGGGAGATATTAATTGATAGACTGGGTATAACTGAAGAATGGCAAATTGTATTATTATAATTTATAGGTCAAAATAAAGCTTATAATAAGAGGAACACGAATATGAATGATATAGCTACTTAGCAATTATACAATAAAAATATTTGTATAGTATTAGTCCAGAAATAGATTCCAACAGTTAACATTTATTCTTTTTATCGGGATATAACAGAAATATCTCAGATTTTTCATGACATTTTACAGGTATGTTTGAGTTGATATTAGTAAGTACTTTGGTTTTCAATGTGCTAATTATGATATTATTCGAAGAAGTTTAATTTCAGTGGATATATCTGAATCCATGGAATATGTACGGTCACTTGATGTAAATCACATAAGAAATAATGTAATAGAGGTTGGTGATATAAGTTAGCAGATAAATAGAGGTGAACAGTTCAAGCCTTAAATAATTAAGTTCTGTAACGTCAGAAATTACTGCATTGATTTGACTAAATGTACTTATTTAGGCGAAACTTTTAATTTTCAACTTAAATAAATCACTAGTTACCAGAAATGAGTAAGCTACTCTTTATTATGAATACATGATTTATAGAGTGTATATCCGGCTTACAGTATCGGTTTAGATATATATCAAAGATTGAGGTAATGTACTCAGATTTTACCATCATCTCGTTACATACTAAAAACAATATACCTCTGTAATCTGAAGTTGAAACGTTACAGATAATATTCAAGTTATCAATCCACTTCCCTAAAACAAAAGTCTAGTATTTCGAGTCAATTTACACAATAGATTGACTTCAGGTAGTAAATGATTAAAAGCTAAGTAACATTCGGAATAATGATGTATAGTTCAAAGCTCTAGGACGGATTTTGATCAAAAGACGTTTTATATCAGGCTCATTACACTTAAGACCATTGAATTAATGCCACATATTTTTACTTTAGATTTCAGCAAATTCATCATATAGTGTGACAAACAATCATTATCACAAGTATCACTATTGAGATAGATTAGTTCCAGTAGTTATCTGGTCATTACTCATCTGTAAGCAAAATGTCAAGTACATTTGAAAGCATCATTGTTATTGTAATTATATTGCTGATTCAAAAGCATATATATATATATATATATATATATATATATATATATATATATATATATATATATATATATATATATATATAAAGCGACAATAAGATGTTAGATGACTGCTTGTTTTTAAGTGATCCATTTCGCAATTTTGAAAGAAAAACGTCTGGAGAGGGCACAATGACTGCCATACAATTGTTTATGGTATTCATTGTTGAATCTCAAGTGGACGTTTATGATGAATCTAAGAATTAACTGTTTTATTGCGGATACAATAATTAGGCTTTCTGTACCATACTCTTCTAGTTCGCTGAAAATAAAAACCAATTCCCAGTAGGGGAATGTTCTTGTACTAGGACAGTACATTTAGTGATATCATTGTTATTTTTGACCGACAGATTTTTTGTATTATCTACAAATCCATGGAAGTCCTTGACATTATCCTTCACAATTTTTTCGTGCAAATGTTTCATAATCTGCACTAAACATTTTGACATATTATCATAAGCTGAATTATTTGTATCTAAAACTGGTGGAGAGAGCAAGCTACTATTATGTATTTTTTGTAGATCATGTAGCATTGATGTTATCGTCCCCGTAGGTTTCAACATTCCGAGCACTTTTTCCAAAATAAAACCTTGTTTCTGATCTGTTCCAATGAGTCTATGAGTAATACACCTTAACCTTCGTCTGGTTTCGTAATTAAAACACTGTCATCAGTTTTAAGTTTTGTTAAAGCTCTTTTTAAAGATCTTGACTGGCCACCATGCGTCTCTGATAGAAAATTCGATATACTGACTTCAGAAAAACAGCATAAAAAATATTAGTTTGCAGTGATATATAAATTTTCGGTTTCGGATGCATAGCATGTCTCGTTACTGTTTTGTTGGCATTCGTCATATATTCCATAGTAGTGAGTATCTTCGTCTAAGTTGTTGCCCATGTCACTTATTTATTCCGAATTTATTGAAATAAAATACTTCTGTTCCAACCCTCACAAGGTTTCTGCTACCTGTTGTTCATTTGCAGGAATACGGGAACTAACTAACCATTACAAAGGCTTTTTGAATGGGAAAGGTTAAACAAATCGGTATTGTCACGAAATTCATGGAGAGTGCAACAATTGGAAGAAATAAGCATTCATTGTTTGTTGTAAACAGAAAATA